AAGCCCTTGTAGATCCCCTTAAGGAATTCTAGAAAAGGGACTGTTAAACTCATCACTGTAAGGCCCTATACACCCTGTTTTGAACCATCCGTGTGCTCTAGACCTAAACTCCCAACATGCCGAAGGCTTCGACATTGTGAGCGAGTATTTCGAGCAGCAGAGGTGCGCACCAATCCGGGCTTAGGGTTTGGAGATCGTTTTTGCACTTATTGGGGGCTGGCGAGAGAGAGATTTGTTGTTTCGTTGCCAGTGACCCTAAACCCTAAACCCTTTTCAAGCTTTATGGGCAGCAGTCATAGAGTTGAGCCTTCAGGCAACGGTTTCGGATGGGGGTGTAGAAGCTTGAAATGCGAAGCCTCGTTCCGGTTTAGGGTTTAGGGTTTAGGGTTTAGTGTTTTGGGTTTTGGGTTTTGGGTTTAGGGTTTAGGAAGGATGGCCAAGTGAACCCAATGCCGAAATCTGAATCGTTTCGGGTTTGGAGGCTTAGGTCTTTAGGGAGGTTTAGGGTTAGAGTTCAGGGTTTGGGTTTAAGGCATGTAGGGCTTAAGCTTAAGGCAACCCCGTTCAGGGGTCGGGGTTCGAACCGGAGCATCCTATACTTAGTAGCTGAGTGGATACAATTTACACTTTTTGAGATAATATTACTATTACCCACCAAAAATCTGAATTTTGCACTTTTTTGGGGCTTCTGAACTCAGCAACTAAGTATAACGCCCAAAGGAGCACCCGAAACAGAAAGCCTGCTCCAAAACCGTAGAGCCCCAAAACACTAAAACCCTAAAGCCGTAGAAATCGAACCGTGAACCCCAAGCCATGATCCCTAGAATCTCAAACCCTATAGACCGAAGGGGGCCCCTACATCGCAAGCCTCACACCTAAAAGCCTTATAGGGTTGAGGATTTGGGATTTTGCGCTCTAAAGACTTTAGGAGGGACTAGTCCTTATATACCCCTTATATAGCCAGGTAGTCTCCATATTAACCCCAATAACCTACAAGGGTCCCTATTAAGGGTCCCTCCTAAAGCCCTTAGATGCACTTTTGGGGATGAGCCGTGGAGAGTTCCAATCCCCAAACCCCCTGAGCCGCAAAAGCTTTTGCGGCTCCATTCGCTTTCAGAAAGCTAGGTTTAGGGTTTAGGGTTCAGGGTTTTGTGGCACTTTGGGAAACTTGTTAACTTCCCTTCATGGGTCCTAAACCCTACGCCCTAAACCCCCTGTTCATAAATACTCCTAAGGGCCCCCAAACCATAACCCCCTTCATAACCACTCTTAAGGGCCCCAAACCCGAAACCCTAAACCCTAAATCCCAAGCCCAAAACCCTAAACCCTTAAGGGCCCCAACACCTCCTACTACTACTGCTGCTACTACTACTACTACTACTACTACTACCACTACCACTACCACTACTACTACTACTACTACTACTACTACTACTACAAACCCTACATCCCAAACGTTATAGGAGCCTTATTATAGAAGGTATATGTACCTTATGGAAGCCTTATAGAAGCCCTATATACCCTGAACTCCCCACCTGTAGTTTCCTTTAACTAAAGCCCTAAACCCTAAAACCCTAAACCCTAAACCCCAAACCCAAAAGCCCAAAACCCCAAACCCTAAACTTAAACCCTAAACCTAAACCCTAAACCCTAAACCCTAAACCCTAAACCCTAAACCCGAACCAAGGAGAAGATCCGAGCGTTGTTCAGCAAGCTTGGCGCCGACGAAGAGGGCCACATTACGTATGCAATG